CATAGATCTTGCAATTCTGGGAAACATCTAGTAAAAGAACAAAGGGATATTTTTTTCTAAGGATCTCCTTGTATCACAGAAGAAAATATTCCCCAGAACTGTCTCAGCAAACTTGCCTTATATCTTCAGTTCAGTTCAGTCGCTCAATTGTGTTCAACTCTTTAGGACCCCAGGGACTACAGCACACCAGGCCTCCCTGTCCATCACCAACTCCCAGAGCTTGCTTGAACTCATGTCCATTGAGTCGGTGATGCCATCCAACCATCTCATCCTCTGTCATCCCCTTCTCCTCCTGCCTTCAATCTTTCCCAGCATCAGGATCTTTTCCAATGAGTCAGTTCTTCGTATTAGGTGGCCAAAATATTGGAGTTTCAGCTTCAGCATCAGTCCTTCCAATGAATATTCAGGACTGATTTCCTTTCAGATGGACTAGTTGGATCTCCTTGCCATCCAAGGGACTCTCAAGAGTCTTCTCCAACACCACAGTTCAAAAGCATCAATGCTCTGGTACTTAGCTTTCTTTATAGCCCAACTCTCACATCCATACATGGCTACTGGAAAAACCAAAGCTTTGACTAGACAGAACTTTGTTGCAAAGTAAAGTCTCTGCTTTTCAATATGCTGTCTAGATTTGGCATAGTCTTTCTTCCAAGGAGCAAGTGTTTTTTAATTTCATGGCTGCAGTCACTATCTGCAATGATTTTGGAGCCCAAGAAAATAAAGTCTCTCACTTTTTCCATTGTTTCCCCATCTATTTGCCATGAAGTGATGGGACCAGATGCCATGATCTTAGTTTTCTGAATGTTGAGCTTTAAGCCAACATTTTCACTGTCTTCTCTCACTTTCATCAAGGGCTCTTTAGTTCCTCTTCACTGTCTGCCATAAGGGTGGTGTCATCTGCATATCTGAGGTATTGATATTTCTCTTGGCAAACTTGATTCCAGCTTGTGCTTCATCCAGCCTGGCATTTCACATGATGTACTCTGTATATAAGTTAAATAAGCATGGTGACAATATACAACCTTGACATACTCCTTTTCTTATTTGGAACCAGTCTGTTGTTCCATGTCCAGTTCTAACTGTTGCTTCTTGACTTGAATACAGATTTCTCAGGAGGCAGGTCGGGTGCCTGGTATTCCCACCTCTTTAAGAATTTTCCAGTTTGCTGTTATCCACACAGTCAAAGGCTTTGGTGTAGTCAATAAAGCAGAAGTACATGTTTTTCTGGAACTCTTGCTTTTTCAATGATCCAACGGATGTTGGCAATTTGATCTCTGGTTCCTCTGCCTTTTCTAAATCCAGCTTGAACCTTATATGTTATTGGGCAGAATTGAGTCATATGCCCAAGCTAGCTACTGATAAAGTACACTGATTGATTTAACCCAATCAACACTCCCAAGCAAATCTTAGGTGCATTAATATTAATTCTGTGAGCAAGGAAATGAAGGGAGTTGCCATGAAAAAGGCAGTCTGTATGGTCCATCACAGCTGCATCTACCCGGGAGGGTTTTTCCCTCTGATTCACACCCTATGGACTAAATCATGTATAGATACAGGGCCTGAAGTAGTCCATCTATACATTGTACATCTCTCTAGAGGGAAAAATACAAAACAAAAATAAAAAACAAAAAACCCAGAACCAAATTTTAAGAAACTTGGAATGGGACAGGAACTACTTCATTTTGTTGCAAGTGAAATTAGCTGATATTTGTGAAATACCTGAGATAAATTAATAGTGAAGCCCAAGAATGAGAGGCTATGAATTCTTGCTGCTAAGGCCCACTAGGCTGCCTTGATGCTCACTTTCAGAAATCTGAGTACTCAGCATTTTCTGTATTTCCACGAGAAATATTACATCTCTCTCTACAATAACCTCCTTTTCTCCAATAACTATATCCAGAAACGCCTGCTACATGTTTATTTGAGCAAGTTGTGAATTGTGTTTTCATTTCTTGCAACACAAATTTTCACCACCCACAATAAAAATAGTTACCTGCAAAAGAATGTGGGACATGGAGATTTGATGATCAGGTCTATGGGAACAATGAAACACTCTTCCATATTCCAGGATAGGAAAATAATAATCCGTGATATACAGAGACAAAGCTTGTCATGAGACAAATTATGAAGAGGATGGGGAATCTAGTGAATAAAGTTTAGTCTTAGAATACCTGACTTTATGTGTATTCGGAAACAGAGTCTCTATATAACCTAGATGGAGGAAGACTTCTTTCTGCAGCCAACATGCTGAAGCTGCTTAAAGATAAGGTCAGAACATCATCTTAGAAGATTTCAAATTGTAATTGATTTCCTGGCAGTGACAGTTTCTATGATAAAGGTTTAAACACAGATTAAAAGAGATTTTGACAATTAATAGGAATATTTGGGAGAAATCAGCTATGCCAGAGGAGTTGACAACATTGTTCTTGCCATACAACACTCAGTCTCCTGTTCTTTGGTTAACAGCACCTTGATTTCCTTTTGAGGGGGATTGAGAGTTAGGTAAGGTGCCTTGTATTACCTTAGATAAGGGTGGCATATGACCCAAGCTAAACTGATCAGGCTTTCCATCTTGGCTTTAGATCTGGAATCGAGCGACCAGAGTGGAAACAAATGGGTTGAAACAAATGATCCAAAACCACAGATTTTTCACCAATGCTAGCTACCTAAATCTCCAGGGCTGCTCTGGCTCTTGCCATTTCTGAGCCAGAATTTGAAGCTTTGCTTTTGATTTCGGGAGGTGACCATATACTTCAATGAGTTATCTATTTGCTTAAGTTGGTTTATAGTAGATCAAATAAAGTTGTTTGGAACTGGGTAGTGCAACCAATGTGGAGAGAAGTGGATGGATTTTTGATATTTTTATGTATAATCTACAATATTCTGTGTTTGGTTATATTTGGAGGTAGAGAGAGAAAGAAATTCAACATCCATTTCAGGCTTGAGCAAATGGTAGTGAGTTATTGAGATAGTGAGTAAGAAATGAGAAATAAGTCTACTGAAAATATTATGAGTTTAGTGATAGATATATTGACTTGAGATGTCTTTGCCAAAATCAGTAGGTAGTAGGCCATATATGGTCTGCATTTTAGTGGAGGTTTAGAATTGGAATTTTTGGCAGTTTCCAGAATCTTCCTATTACCCCACAACTCCTTGACTTTTAAGATAAGGGCTAGCATGTTGGTAAGAGTCAAATGAATGATCACTGAAATCTCCATTCTTAACAAGTTGAATGCTGCATTAAAAAGCATAAAACAAGACAAAACAAAAAACTTAGAGCATTGTAGAAATTGCTGCTAATTTCTAATTTCTACTAATGAAAGACCTTAGAAATGAATGCATGTTGTATCAGTTAAATATTTATAAAAAATAAAGCTATATAATAAATAATCACAAAACCTCAGTGTCAGATAGCAATAATTTCTTTAGATCAAAAATAATTTATTCAACTCAGTTGATGTTAGCTCATATTATTTAAGAAAACATGTGGATCAGCTGGTTTTTCCTGATGGCTCAGCTGTAAAGAATTCACCTGCAATACAGGAGATGTGGTTTCGACCCCTGAGTTGGGAAGACCCCCCAGAGGAGGAAATGGCAATCCACCTGGCAGGCTACAGTCCATGGGATGACAAAGAGTCAGACAAGACTGAGCCACTGAGCATGCACTTGAATCAACAAGGTGGCTGTTAATTTGGGCTAAGGTCACTCACATGTCTGGGTGGCATGTTTGCTGACTAATCTAGGAAAGCCTAACCTGAGATGACTGGGGAAACTCAACTCTGTTCTGTGTTACCTCATCCTCAAGTTGACTAGTACAGGCATATTTTCTTGGAAAAGACCAAGAGAGAAAGTAAGCAGAACACACAAGGTCTCTTGAGATCTATGTTCAAAGCTGGGACACCATCACTTCCATTGCATTCTACTGGCCAAAGTAATTCACAAGAGCATTCCAGATCCATGGGGTGGGGGAGAAAAAGACTATGTACTTCTAGTTAGAATTATAAAGTCATATGGCAAAGGAAGAGGGTAGATACAGGGTGGGGTGGAGTATCAGGACAGTTATAAAAAAATCAATGTATTGCACAAGGTGTTTCTATCACCTTCTTGTTTGACTCATGTTGGCTAGTACAGAAAGGTCATTGATATGTTGATGGTATCTAGGTATATTCATAAATAACTGTAGTTATCAGGGTGTTGGCCTTCATTCTGCTTCTCTTCTGGAAGTAATTTCCTTTTCTTCCTAATTAAGAAAAATCATGGCTCTTAGGACATAGTTATTGATTTTGCTAACACACTTTCAATGGAAACAGTGAGAGACTTTATTATTTTGGGCTCCAAAATCACTGCAGATGGTGACTGCAGCCATGAAATTGAAAGACACTTGCTCCTTGGAAGAAGAGCTATGACCAACCTAGACAGCATATTAAAAAGCAGAGACTTGACTTTGCCAACAAAGTTCTCTCTAGTCAAAGCTGTGGTTTTTCCAGTAGTCATGTATGGATGTGAGAGTTGGACAATAAAGAAAGCTGAACACCAAAGAATTGATACTTTTGAACTGTGATGTTGGAGGAGACTCTTGAGAGTCCCTTGGACTGCAAGGAGATCCAACCAGTCCATCCTAAAGGAAATCAGTCCTGAATATTCATTGGAAGGACTGATGCTGAAGCTGAAACTCCAATACTTTGGCTACCTGATGAAAAGAACTGACTCATTTGAAAAAACCCTGATGCCAGGAAAGAGTGAAGGCAGGAGGAGAAGGGGATGACAGAGGATGAAATGGTTTGTTGGTATCACCAACTTGATGGACATGAGTTTGAGCAATCTCCAGGAGTTGGTGATGGACAGGGAAGCCTGGTATCCTGCAATCCATGGAATCGCAAAAGTTGGACATGACTGAGCAACTGAATTGAGCATACTTTTGTTTGTTTCTGTCAATCCTAAAACTTTTCCTTCACTTGGCAGTGTAGATTAATACTATTATTGTGCTTTCCAGGGAGAAGTCAACTTCATAATGGAGTCTATGACACAATTTAATTAATGAAGACCTTGACTACCCTAACACATCCTACTAGTGTACATGATACAGGGCTACTGTAATAATGATGCTAACGTTGATCATCTATGAAGGACAAAAAATTGAAATCATCTGTCTTGGTAAATTATGTGTCTAGAATGATGAAAGTGAGAAGAGGTAAGTCTGACAAAACACAGGGTGCTGATACCTTGCCAGTTGATTGTGGCTCCTTGCTTTTAATAGTTTGAAGGATATTAGAATATTCTCTTCAAAACAGGGATATAAGTTGCATAAATTGGATGTCATCTGACATATTCACCAAGTTAATCAGGCCTAGCAGCATGTTATTTTCAAGTGGGAGTGATATTTTTATAAGTTAGAATGTCTAAGACTATGAATAACAGGGTATCTTAACTCAACTTGGCCTGAGCAATAACGAAGTTATCGTTTCACGTGGGAAGCTTACATGGGTAGAGTCTCCAAGCTCTGCTTCTCTCTGGTTCTCTTAATTCAACCTCCTTTCTGTGTCACCATCTTGAGACTTACAGCTTGATAGATGCAGTAGCATTTGATGTCAAAGACAGACATTTTCCAGAGATTTAAAAAGCAGATAATTTTTCACTGGTATCTCCTAAAGGAAAGGAAATATTTTCCAGGAGGCTTCATGTCATTGCTGTTGCTATTCAGTCACTAAGGTTGTGTCTGACTCTTTGCAACCCAGTGGAATGTAGCCCACCAGGCTTCCCTGTCCTTCATAAAGCAATCAGAAAATCCTCTAAAACTGAAAGTTTTTGGTGAAACTTTAGGCGAAGTTTAAGGTAAAACTTCCCTCTGATGAAGCTTTAGGTGTAATTTTAATTGGACAGTTATAGACCTATGAGCAACTTGGTGTAGTTTTTTTTTTTAATCTATTTGGGCCCATTCCCATACTGCCCAACAAGCTAAGAATTACTATTCTTAATGTATATTAATGCAAGAAAGTCTACATTCTCAGAGAACGGTACATGCACTTTGTCCCTAGTGTGTAATAAGCAGAATATAAGCTTCACGGGAGCAGGACCATGCCTGTTTCAGTCATGGTGCCCAACAAGCACTCAAAAATTGCTGCCTGAAAAGATGATGACCCAATGGAATTTCTGCAAAAGGAAGCTGGAGTTTGTCATCCACTTTAGAAAGTTATATGAAGCCTGATTTTCTTTCTTTCTTTTTTTTTCAGCAAGTCTTGCATCTTTTTTTTTTTTCCATTTATTTTTATTAGTTGGAGGCTAATTACTTTACAATATTGTAGTGGTTTTTGCCATACATTGACATGAATTAGCCATGGATTTCCATGTATTCCCCATCCCAATCCCCCCTCCCACCTCCTTCTCCACCCGATCCCTCTGGGTCTTCCCAGTGCACCAGCCCTGAGCACTTGTCTCATGCATCCAACCTGGGCTGGTGATCTGTTTCACCCTTGATAATATACATGTTTCGATGCTGTTCTCTCTAAACATCCTACCCTCACCTTCTCCCACAGAGTCCAAAAGTCTGTTCNGACAGAAATATAGATCAATGGAACAGAATAGAAAGCCCAGAGATAAATCCATGAACCTATGGACACATCTTCGACAAAGGAGGCAAGAATATACAATGGAAAAAAGACAACCTCTTTAACAAGTGGTGCTGAGAAAACTGGTCAACCACTTGTAAGAGAATGAAACTAGAATACTTTCTAACACCATACACAAAAATAAATTGACTTTCTTGTATTAATATACATTAAGGATGAGTACTTCTTAGCTTATTGGGTAGTAAGGGACAGGGCCCATACAGATTAAAAAAAAAATCTTTATCAAGTTGCTCACAGGTCTATACCTGCCCAATTACAATTTCACCTAAAGCTTTATCAGGGTTTTTAAATTTCAGTTTAGAGGAGTTTCTGATTTCTCTGTGTAACAGCTGGCACTAGTTCTCAGCAGACTCCTAAAATATTGAAACCCCTATTGGGTTTCTTAGTTCAGGCTACAATAGCAAAGTACCATATCATAAACAACAAAAAAATTATTTCTCATAACTCTAGAGGTTGGAAGTCCGTCAAGTTCTGGTGAAAACTTTATATTGCGTTGTAGACTGCCTTTACGTTCTTGTATCCTCATGCGGTGGAGAGAGGGCAGGAGAGCTCCCTAAGGGCACTAATTCCTTTATGAATTTGGGGGGGATCATAAATATTCATTTCATAATATTGGGATAAGCCTGTGTTATTGTGCAAAGGGGAAGTTATCTTCTTAAACAGAACCGTAAGCAGTATTTCCATGGCTCTCTATCTAGAACACATTATATAAATAGCCCACACCCATCCTTTAAGCTCTAGACTTGTATGTCCACCAGCATACATTAATTCATAGATGCCTTAAACCTTCCTCAAACTCATCATGTCCAAAACTAAGCTCATAATCTCCACTTTATCTCCACACTCATTGTCTTAATGCATCACTTAGCCCCCAACACTCATCATCGTCTTACTTCTCTCTGTACTTACACCTCATTAAACAATCCTTCATCTCCACATATCATCACTCTGTTAACCACCATAACATATCACCTTGCTTCCAGACTTCCCCAGGATCCCCATCCCTTCTTAGTCTCTTTCAGAGGGACATTTTAGGAACACAAGTGTAGTCATGTTCATGCCCCTGTTTAAAACACTTTCGTGGATTCCTTCTGCTTAGAAGATCTAGAATATACATTCTTAATATGCCTATAAAGCCCTGCAAGGCCTTATCTCGACTTACATTTCCAGGTTCATTCTACCACTCCTTCCCTCCCTCCTTCTAGCCCAGCCCACTGTTATTTCTGAACAAGAGTCCCTTCCATTGTGGAAAGGCCAATCACTGGTCTTCAGTAGGATAAAGTTTATTCTCTGCCCAATTTCCTTTTTAAGATCTTCACTATGAACTTAATGACCACCTTATACACACAATAATATCGTACCTAAATTACCTCCATTAAGATGTTCTCTCCACAGTGAAAGAAATGAAGAAATACATTGGCATTCATGGATTTACCAATCTAATCTGATGCCCTGTAATCCTCTAACATCTGATTGGTTACTCTTTTCATTTCTTTTTCTTGCATATCCACTCATTATTTTCACCCATTTAAGCATCAACAGTATATTTTAATAGTTTATTTGATAAAATTTTTTACAAAGTATATTTCTTTTTGTCTCATTGATATTAATAATACTAAATATTTTCTTCATCCTCCAATATTGTCAAAATGTGCTAAAAATATTATGCTGAATTATAATTTAGCAAGGCCTTCAGACACTAATATGACTCCCTGCGTTCTCTCCCTCAGCTCCAAATGATGCCAGAGCACTGTTGTATTCCTTTTTTCCCTACGGTCTCTTTTTTCAACAGCCATTTATCTTTGCTATCAATGTGTGTTTTTCCTGCTTCCCATTGGCTGCCATGTGTTACAAGCTATTCTAAGTGAATGCAATGTCTTTGCTTCAAAACTTTCTTATAAGTAAAATCTTGCATTTTACATCTTTCCTTTGAGCTGAAAGGTTTAATTTGTGATTTTTCTGGTTTCAACCTCTTTCATGGATAATTAAATTTGTGGTAGACTGATCTTCAAATAAATCAAACATAAAATAATACTTTTATTTCCTTACCCATCACACATCTCTCTAAGGTTGGCATGGCATAAAGATACATACTTTATATTGTGGGAACCACCATAAAATGTGATTATCTCTGAATAATTTGAATGCTTTTTTCATTTGTGTATATATTTTAGGATAAAAGAAAAAATTCCAGGCAAATAAAATGCTCTTAATGTCTTATTTATGCCATGATGACACACTTTTCTTTGTAAAATTCTATTCAGTATAGTAAGATGTTTATATTGAATAACTTCCTGATGACCAGAAAGAGTTCAAATAGCTTTAAACATGATCACATGACACCCAAAGATGTCTTGTGAGGTAATAGCTCTCTGGCTCACTGACTTGATTTTGAAATAATAAGCATTAGGATCTTAAGTGAGAAAAACATCTGATCGTTGGTGGAGGGGTTAAGAAAATGAAGCACAGATGTGTGCACACCATCTTATTGATACTTATATTTATAAGCAAAGCAAGCAAACTCGCTCAGTCATGTCTGACTCTTTGCGACCCCATGGGCTGTGGCCTACCAGGGATTTTCCAGGCAAGAATACTGGAGCGGGTTGCCATTTCCTTCTCCAGGGGATCTTCCCGACCCAGGGATCGAACCCAGGTCTCCCACATTGCAGGCAGACGCTTTACCCTTGCACCAATGGTACATGTGCAAATGGATGAGAAAGGAGTGGTGGGGATTCTGTGTATTTGTTTAAAGGGTGGTGTAACCACTCACACTACTCAGCATGTTTGAGCTTGGACTTGTATCCTGTCCTTTTCTTGGCCTCTCATCCTTCTTTCTTTTGTCCTCTTCTCCCCATAACCTTCCCATCATCACTTTTCTCTTCCTCTTCTTGTCTTTAACAACCGTTGGCCCTCTCCAAAATGTAAATTAATTTGTGGACAAATTATAGTTATGCTTGGAGAAAGCAGGAGAAAAACATTTGGCTCCTTCTTCCTATCTCAAGCCCTGGTTATCCCTACTGTGGTTTAATTTCATTTCTAGGATTTGGATCAATAAATTTGTAGGAAACACAAAGCCAGTTTTCTCAGTTTATTGACCTTCTGTTGAAAGCAGACACAATTTATCCAACATCTGGACAATATTTGTCAAGGCCAAGTATAACCCAAATCCAGGCCAGAGAATGAGTTGGTGCATTTGTTAGTTAAGCCATTTGATGGGTTTATAAATAAGATTAAAAAATAAAAATAAAAAAGCCAGCTTCTTTTAGTCCCATGCTTGGTTTATTTTCAGCAAGGCACTGATATTCAGGGTGAACTAACATACAAACACCACCTTTTCTTTCTTTTTGTACCTCGAGGATGCTCTTGAACCCAAGTTTCTCTTCCTGACTAAACCACTTACTGTCTTGGACATTGGCCAGGTTCAGCAGCTGCCTTATCTCTTTCACATGTTTGCTTTCTATTTATTTACAAGGACCATTATAGATTGTCACACTCTCAGATTGACCTGGTAGAAGTGATAAATGGAGGGCCTTTTGGCTGCATTCAATAACTTGGATTTGCTATG